GAAATAATTAATCTTATAAAAATTCATGGTTTAGGTGCTAGAAGCATCTACTCAATGATATGATGTGAGACATTGCTATATCGATTTATCTTTGTGAATTATAGAGACTTGTGTGTATATACTCATACCCAATTGAGCTTGTTTATTGTTTTAGCACAGGAAATTCTGTTATACTGGAATACAATGTTTAGTTAAGGGCAGTATATTGAAGTTACTGTTTGTGTTGTGAAGGCACAAGGAAAAGGGTTAAGTAGAAGAAAGGTAAATTTACTTGAATAACCTGGTGCCTTTTGGTATTGTGACTGCATTGTAGAAAACACATGTACAAAGACTTAAGTACATTGCAGTCTTTCTAGTGAGAGCATGGACTGATAACAGTTCTTGTTAAAACAACCGTTTACTTTAAATAGGTGTGTAAGCCTCTGTAGGAAAACAGTGGCTCTTTCATTAATAAACTGTCACTGTTAGCATTGGAAGGGTGAGTTAAAAATGTGATTGTCTTAAGAGCTTTCTAGCTTTCTGGTTTATACTTTGAAATTACCAATGTGAATTGCCTTTGTTTTGTTTAGCCTGAAGTGGCTGTTAAATGCTGTTATTTTCAGTTATTCACATGTGAAATTTTATTTTTAATTGCTATCCAAAATGTAATGGGTTTAATATGACTAGAGTCTTCCTTTTAAGTGTCTGAAATACTAAGTTGCTATGTTGTTAGCAATTATATAGCTGATCCATTTAAGTTCTGCACAAATTTATTAGAATACTTATTTTAAATTTTTGATGCTTGAGTTCCCAAGGTTACCAAAATTCTGGGGCCAGTAAGAAGCAACACATTGCAAGATGAGCCTGCCTTAACTAATAATTACATGTTTGAAATCATTTTACCTGATGGTTATAGATGGTTTTGAGACCTGAACATAACTGTCTCAACTCAGGTAACTAATAGCAGAGAATAGGAGTAAGTCCATCTAATTGATCAAGCTGCTGTATAATGTTTACCTGCTCCCATCTTCCCTAGGGCCCCAGGCTGAAATGCTGAGTTTTACTTAAATGAACTTAGTTGCTTTAAAAACAGAACCAAACCCCAAGATTACATTTTTGTGGCATTAAAGGCAGAGTTCTCAAAACTTGCTTGTTATGCATCAGAAAGTAATTTTCTGCCATGTCTGTGAAATGGAAAATGAGTCACTTGAAGAAGGTGATAAAAGATCATAACAAAGAGAGACTGATTTCTCAGTATTCAAGACTGTAAACAGAGGGATTTCTTTAATTTCCTTTTCCTTGCTTTTCTAAAGGAAGGCTTTTCCCATACTGTGTTGAAACCCACTTCTTGCCTTTCTTTAAGCATCTGAACAGCAATCTACAAAGTTCTTTATGGGAGAGCCCTCTAAAAGACAGACTTCAGACTTGCATCCAGACTTGCATCCTTGCATCATTTCAGAATGAATCTGAAGAAAATATGTTTCTGCATGTAACTCTGACCCTTGACAGACTTCATTCCATTGCTGCAGAATAAGTTCTTCAGCCTCCTTACTAAGGAAAGAATAAAAGCCATTTCAAGATCATTGAAAGCCTCCTTCTGACACTTGATTCCCTAACAGACCTTAAGGATAGCCATGAACATTTAAGTGTGTTCTGTTTTGAGCTTTGTGAACATTATTTTTCAGTGTCAAGATCAGAGAAAACTGTTGTCATACCACCTTCCCCTTCCTTCCATGCCTGGTGGTTTTTTGTTGGTGGGATTTTGAGTAGGTATTTAGACACATGGTTTAATAGTGTGCCACTTTTAGTGCCGTTTTCTTCTGTTCACTGTTCATTGCTCTGAATTTTTCTAAGTAGTTTGAATCTCATGTTGTCTTTTTAATATTTCATTTTCTGTAAATAATGTAGTAGATGGCTTTCATTTTGTGACTGGCTTCTCACGTCTTTAGTATTGAGGGGAGGAGGCAGTGGAAACAGTTGTTGTTCAAGTATGTTCTTCAAGGAATAAAAATTTGTTTTGTTTTAAGAATAGCAGGATTTTTTTACTCCCAGTTGAATGAGGGGAACTAATGTCCACTTCTAAGGAATAGATTGTTGATGTTATTTATACTGTAGTTTCTCAAGGATTGTCTGATGTGTGTATGTGTACATGTATGTGCACATGGAAACACACTGTTAGAGAAGCCTTTAATTATTTGTAAGTGTGGATAAGAAATGACATTTTTAAACTACTGAAGCTGGAGTTAAATGCAAATGCATTTTAAGTCTGTAGTCTTTGAGTCCATGACGGTGCTTTTGACAATGTTACTCCATATCTAAAAGCCTCGTTCATAAGGGTATATAGTAAGATGTAGGTATGTTTATATGTATGTTTAACATAGTTTATATAAAATAAATGTAAATTTTGTTTCTACAGACAATAAATGTTTTAATGAAATTTTTACTTATAAATAATTCAGTTATTTGATTCAGTAGTTATTAATGTTTGTTGTAATTTTCAGGGTAAAACAAAAGCTTTTTTCAAAACTTTTTGTGCAGGGAGTGGAAAGTGACAGTTTTCTGTTTTCATACAGAAGTTAACTACCTGAGGTAAGCGCAGGCTGGTTTTGCCTGCTCTTTCATTAATAGTCAAGGTGCCCATGCTGTAAAACATTACCTATACTTTATCTTTAATGGGGGGGCGGGGGGTTGTTTTTTTTTTTTTTTACTTTTTCTTTTACAATCTGCATTTCTCCTCTGCTGCTCCTGTAGGTTTTTTTTCCCCAAGGGTCTTTACCTGTGGGAAGACGTGCCTGTGCAGAAGCCTCCCCACCCACCTCCATGCCTTTCTGTCCAGACACGTTGCTGATGTGTGCACACCGTTACAGTTGCAGGGGTTTGGCATCTTCCTGCAGTACGAACGATCCATGCTCCTGTACGACGCTGCTCTTTTTAGTGAAGCATCAACACTACCTCAAAGGGACTCTTTATCTTCCCTGTTTGCCTTCCTTCTTTCGTCTCCTGCTCCTAAACCCAAACCTGTAGCGGTGTGTGCGGGGAAGGCGGGCCAGGCAGAGACGACGGTCGCCTGCGGCGCTGCCGGTGCGTTTCCCGGTGGCTCTGAAAGCAGATCCCGGGGGTAGGGCAGGGCTGGGCACGGCTGCGGAAGGGGCAGGTGCGGGGCAGGAATGCGCGGTTGGGTGCCTGTCCCGCCGCCCGGGAGCGCTCTCCATCCTCCCCCAGCGCCCAGCGAGGACGCGCCCGTCCCCTCCCTGTGCCCGAGGAGTCGTGCCCCCAGAGGGAGGGAGCCACCCCGCTCCCGGCCGAGGCTCCGCTGCCCGCCGCCCCTGCCGCCGCCGGACCGCGGCGCGGCTCCGCTTCCTGCCGCCCTCCCCGCCCTCCTCTCCGCCGGCCCGAGGCGGCGCAGCGGCTCTGGCGCAGTCTCGCGACACTTCCCGCAGCGCGGAGCCGGAGCCGCCGCTCGCCCCGGCAGCAGCAGCGGCAGCCGCGGCGGTCGCTGCCCGCGCCCGGCAGCCCCGGCCGCTCCCGCCCCGCCGCGCTCACCGCCCGCCCCTCCCGCGGCTCGGCCGCACAGGCTCCTCCAGGCGCTCTCGCCCGGGGCTGCTTTTCCCGGCGGCAGCGGGGACCCGGGTGGCTGCGGGAGCTGAAGGCTGAGCCCCTTCTCTCGCCTGATTTCTGTACATTCCGTTTTTCTCACACACGCCGAGGGAGCCGCGGCGCAGGACGCAGGATGCAGCCCGGCTGCGGCGAGTGCTGAGCGCGGTGGCCGCCGGAGGAGGGAGCGGCTCTGTCAGCGCCTCCGCTCCGCGCGGCGGCGGCTCGGGCGGTCCCTCGCCCCCTTCCTTCGCCGTGGCCACCCGCCCCAAACTTTCAGCCTGTTGTCGCTGCCAGGCGAAGCCCAGCTCGACATAAATGGGTGAGTTCAGGCCGCCGAGGTGGCGGTCCGGGACCAGCTGGGGCTCCCTGCTTGGCCGGTGGGGTGCGCGTACCGCTGAGGGAGGTGGCCGCCACCCGCCTCCGCTCCTTCGCCTCGCGGCTTTTAACTTCTCCTCCCCTCCCCCGGCCGAGGCAATAATTGTTTTCATGTGACAAGCGGAGAGGTCGGTGTTGGCGGCGGCGGGGGACGGCGGTGCGTGGGGTGGGAGTGGGCTCGGGGCTGCCGCTGTGGGTGCTCCCGAGCGGGGCTGACACGGGTACGAACCCTCCCCGTGCATCGGCTGCCCGGCCTCGCCGCCTTCCCGCCGGGCACGGCCCTCCCCGGGCTCTCGGGTGCGGTGGCACCGGGCCGGCCGGGCGGAGAGAAGAGGCAGCTCCGCGCCGGGCGCGCAGGTTGCGCCCCGCGGGTGGCGGGGAGGGATGCGCTGCCCCTCGCCGCCCTCACTGCCCCGCCGGGCGGGGTCGCGGGAGCGGCGGCGCGGGGGGCGGCCGCGCTTCGGCGGCCGCTGCCCGTGAGGTGTCACCCGCGGACCTCGGGAGAGGCTGCGCCTGGCTGCCCCACCGGGCTGGGCAGCGCCCGTTACCTGTGCAGGGGGCAGGGCGGAGGATGGGGATGAGTGTGTCCCATTACGCGGGCGAGGCGGCGGCAGCGGCGGTCCGGGCGCGGGCTGAGCGATGCGCGCGGGGCGTCGCTGGAGCGCGGCTGCCCGCGGCTCGCTCTGCCCTGCGCGGTGCCCGGCGGAAAACGACGGACAGGCAGGAACAAAAGAAGCGGCAGCTGTCCGTGGGCAGCCTTGGTGCACAAACCGGCCGGTGTCTGGGGACGACAGCGAATTTGCTCCGAAACAGCGGCTTTTGGATGTCCCCAGGCCCCCCGCTGCCCGCTTCGCTCACGGCGGCGGAAATGCGGTCGGACTGTGGGGGAACCTAAGAGCAGCGTCACCGAAACAACTGACTATAATGCGTGATGTGGGAGGACATTTTACACAATTTCACCTGTTGTAATACAGTGACGTCGGGAATATAGTAGGAAATAAATAGTCCCTTTGTTCTTTGAGAGATTAGTTTGCGGGGTGCTATGGGAGCGATGCACAGCTGCTCTACCTGTATGTTACCAGATTAAGCACAAGCTTTTTGCTATCGACTTCCAGTTAGCTCTCCCGATCGGGCTGAGATGGGTTCATCCCTACGCAGCTCGCTCGGCTCTATTGATCCGGCTGAACTCCGCCGCTGCTGACGGCAGGCCGGCATCCCCGGCTGCCACAGATAATTGGGGGCATCGCAGGAGTTCTGGTAGGGTTGGTTTGCCGGCTCACTGACACAGCTCCCAACTTCTGTCTTCTGTCACAACAGACACGATTTTAAATATAGTGTTGCATTGAGAGGGTTTGTAACTGCTGAATGGAGCAGAATCTCTACTCAGTAGGGAATGTCATAGTATATAGTTTTAAAAAAATTATTTTTGTATTTATTTCTTACTAACTTTGTATTGTGATATAATAAGGCTTTTCTGATTTCAGTTTACTCCATAGTCCAATTATTAGCCTTCGTGGTTCTAAAGATTAAGTAAAGAAATAAAGAATCAACAAAATAATTTGCATTGATAGAGCTCTAGGAAGGTTTTTAATACAGTAACTTGGTAGTAAAGGCCATCTTTTTTCTTTTTTCCCACCCATCCCTCTCCTGGGCAGTGATCCTACACATCTGGCTTCTTTAAAGCTCATTTGGATGATGACTTTCCCAAATCATCATGATTCAGTCATACTTTGCTTTGCAAAATGGGAGTGGAAGGAAGGTAGATATGATTTAATTGTTGTTCATATCTTTAAATGGTAAGTGATTCTCATAGTTTGCAAACAAATAGAAAGATTGTGCAAGGAGGTGAAGATATGCATAGTATGAAAGTAAAATCTTTCTAGGAGACATCAAATGAAAGCAGTTTTATTAAACACATTTTTAACATAGTTAGCATTTTTGTAAGGTATCTCAGATGCAGAAGAGAATAGGTGAATTCTTTGTGTACTATACTCTCAATATTCCTAAATTATTTTTTAGATTAGTTGTAAGCCTTCTTATATTAACCATTTATATTTTCTCAGTGGCTCTGCAGAATGTTTTAAGCCCAACCCTGTGCATATATTGGGTGTATGTTACACATACCTTTATACTGAGATTCAGTGCTTCTTTACAGCACACACCCCAAACCTTACAAGAAATACTTTGTGTAATTGATGTTTTATGAGCTCTTCTATGACCTTATAGGCAGAGTACATGAAAATTAATTAGTTTGCACTTGCAATGGACTTCTCAGGAGAGTTGAGTGAAATAATGGTGTTAGTTCTCTACAACATAAAAGGTAGGGGGATAAGGCAAAGATCTTGAAGGTAATCATGAATGCAGTGAAACAAGCTTGGTCCCCCTCCTTAAATGTTTGAGAAATTAAGATGTGGTGTTTTGTGGAGATTTGTGTGTGGGAGAGCGTTGTTTGTTTGTTGTTGCTTTTGGGTTTGTTTTGTTCTGTTTTTATTTTGAAACTACTTAGACTCGAGTATGGTCAGGGAACTCAGTCTCAACTGCTAGAGCATGGATGTCCACATATCAGACTGTCTTCCTGAAGTTGAAGGTGCAGAAAACAAAGTAGATGTGGGGAAACTTGGTTTGAAGTGTACTGCTTATCAAAATTTAGAAAATGCAAGAGTAGAAGTGTGATTCTAGAAAGCAGTGTTTAGCTGCCATCATCACAAAGCAGCTGTGCAGCTCCTTCTGTCAGTCGAGACACACCTCCCAAGTTCTGCAGTAAATGAAGGAAAATCCTTTCTTCTGCTGTGGAGTCTTTGCTCAGCCAGTTTAGTGCATTAAATGAGGTGTGGGTCCTGTATAATAATGTTGCAATGAAAATATGCAGCTGAAACCTTCATCACAATGCTTAAACACCATCTTCATCAATTTTTTTTTTTCATCTAAATGTATTTCAAGATATTCTTAAAGCTCTGCTGTTTGGAAAGGGGAAGAGAGGAAGTGCTGCTTTTGTTTATGTGAAATCACATTGATCACCTGTGCTGCCACCATAGTTGGGAGTTTGGATCCAGAGAGACTCTTGTGCCCTTTGAACCAGTTAGATTACTTCCACTGGCAGACAGCTGTTGTCTGTGTGGTTTTACATAATTGGTTGAGAAAGGTGCTTGGCTGTGGAATACAGCAGCTAGCTTGTACACACCAAAGGAATATTACACCAAGAAGTAATGCAATCAAAAGAATTCAGTCTATGTGAGAGTGTGAATATTCTGTGCTAGTTGCAATCCTTTTTTCTGTTTTTACTTTTCTTAATTTGTTTTTCATTTTCCAAATTCTCCTCTATCCCGTGCCCTCAGCTTCCCCCCCTTCTCTGTTTCTCTTTACATATTTCAGAGATGCTGCTTCCTCTGCCTTCCTCTTTCTCATTGCAGCATCAACAGAGGGAGTGCTCTGAGCACATTTCCTGCATGTGGGGCCAGGCTGACCTCCAGCACCAGAGCTGTGCCACATCTAAACTTCTGCTTGGTCCCATGGTGACACCTGGAGTGTGCTCACTGCAGCAGGAGCCCTGGGGAGTGCAGCTCCCTACTCTCCCATCTAAAATAATGAATTTTTGAGGCCTGAGCTTAGCAGAAGTTGCACACAGAAGATGGTAGGTGTGCTTGTGGTTGCCTTTCCAAAATGGTGGAGATATTGGAACTTTTCAGTAAAATAGCTGTAATATTTCAAAAATAGAAATAGTATTTGCCATTCTAGTCATTCTTGAAGGCAGTTGAACAGTTCCAGCTGAATAAGGAAAAGTAATAAGAAAGATTATTATCATGGCTTTTTTCACTTGGATTTCTTTTTAAAAATAAGGTTTTAAGCAACTGTAAAGTGGCTTTGTAGGAAAAAAATTGTGTAAAAATCCTTCCAAGTTGTAAAAAGTCTTTAGTCTCCTCATGAGGGGTGTTACTGATTGCAATTCTTTTGTGGTCATTAGTAGATTTCTTTGTCACAAGAAGGCAGCTACATTGGAGCTGTTTAGGATCAGATGTCTAGTGGTTTGGTGGCATTATACAGCCTGTGAATGGCTTATGATCTGAGTTTTGGAGTTTTCATGAACTGTAATAAAATTTTGGTAACCTGTATTAAGTTTTGTTTAAAAATAGCTGGTGTGAAGTTTTCTTTTCTTAGAAATCAAGAGATTATGACATTCCTGTCATAAAAAGTTATCAGAGCTGCCTTCTATATGGATCAAGATAGGGGTTGGAAATCAAGAAATATAAAATATGTAAATATGTGTGTATATGTAAAATATTATGAAAATAATTTACGATTATAGCATCTCTTCTGCTTGCTCCTTTGCAGTAGCTCTTCATTCCTCACACTCTCTATTAGAATTGTTTTTTTATATTAACTGTTGCTTTTAGCTCATGAAGTGTGATAAAGAACATAATACTAAAATAGATGGTTTCTTAAAAGAGCAGAATTCTTGCTTGTTTTTGTGCTAATCAAAGACTCATATGTAGAAAATTACAATAGAGCTGCTAGAAAAGGGTTTTTTTCCTGCCTGGATTTAAGGAGGTAATATAATGAGCATGTAATAATAACAATGTAATATAATAAAACACTTTATTGAGAAGCAGTTTTGTTTTGATATGAATGCTGAGTGCATACATATTTTTGTTTAAACTGCTACTAATGTAATATATACAATATATCCCTGATGTTATTAAGATTGCTTATTTTGTAATTATTACTCACTGGATGTTAGAGGGTGCTTTAAGAATACTGCTGGTATATCAGAATTTTTATAGAAGATCAGTGTTGGCCTTGTAGATAATGCATTGACTCCTTCCCTGCTTATAGGGGAAGGGTTGCATGTGTTAGGAGGAGAAAAAGGAGAGCTTGGAAACATGAAATCAGCAGCTGAAATTTCAGGTCTGATGTGTTAGAGGTCACTGACTGACGTGCTGCAAGCAGGTTAGCCCTGACGAGATCAAAGGAGTGAAAACAGCTGCAGAGATGGTATCTGTTGTTTTGCTCTGATCCTGCTGGTATAAGAGCTAGCTTATGAAAAAAAGATTATGGATTTTGTATGGTTCCTATCTGTGTGGTTTTTAAAATCCTGGATCAGGGAGTGGATGTTTTCCCTTGATGCAAAAGCAGGAAGTAGCTGCAGGCCATATCTACATTCTGTACACTGAGGAATGATGAAAGAATATATTAGGGGGAGGGGAATGATAGAGGAGGTGAGTATCAAGATTCAGTAATTCAGCTAATGTAAAAGTAATTGCTGACAGTCTGCTTCACACTGAGAGGAAACACAATAAAAGCTTGAAGTCCCTGTGTGTGAGAGAATATGCCAATACTGCAGTTCAGTAGTCATGGATTGCATTATCAAATGAAGTTGTCTTTCCCCTCCTTTTTATTATTGATAACTGAGAAGAATCAGTAGAAAGCAACTCTTGCAAGGTCTTGGCTATGCTTTGTTCCTGACATAACTTTGCCTTAGAGAATGGAGCATTCTGGAGGACAAGCAGTGAAAGGGGAAAGGATGTCTTTGTTCCCAGTCTTACAGCAGTTTGTATTACAGTGGGAGTGTTGCTGAGAATTTGTGCTTCTGATTTAGTATGAAGAATTGCGTGGATTTGTGGATCAGAAATTATGTCTGTGCTGAAAAAAATCTCTTTAGCAACAAAGATAATGTATTAAAGAAAGCTGAGTATTTATACAAGAAAAATATCCCTAACTTCTGATTAATCTGTAGTGTCAGTATAAAGACGTGTCTTTTGAACTTTGCCTTTGAATTTCATTAGAAGTATTGTACAGAAGGAAAAAGTTCCTCTTTACCTCATTCTCTGTCTTTCATACTGTGCAGCTAAATCACTTCTGACAATTGAAACCTTCTCACACCAAAACCAGTGTAAGTCTATTCATTTATTCGAAGATCAAAGTCAGTATTGGTGCACAGCTCCCTGGGGAACTAATGCTTTTTTGAAAATGTCAATATAGATTCATTGAATGTGTTGCAAGTCAAAGGCCCAATTAGACTAGATCTAGGTCTTTAAAGGTCCCTTCCAACCCAAAGCTTCAAAATGATCTATCAATATTTAATTAGCTTTCAGTGGTCATACTGATTATATTTAAAAATTAAGTGGTTTATGTCCCACAGGTAATTTGTATTAATGAATTTGTGACTTACTTTTAAAAGAACCTGACTCACCTAAGACAAACAAAAAAATAATTCCTGCAACATAGGAATACTCATAACATGTTGTGTTCTCTACTTTTAATTTCCAGGAACTTGCTTGTTACCTTGAAAAACAACATATTTGTGCTTTTTATTGATAACAAGGTTTCAAACACACACAAAAGTCACTGCAGGGTGTCTTCTTGCTTGTTTTAGTTTGGTTTTGTGGGAAGAAGTTCTTGGAGGTCAGTGCAACTGCTGGTTCTGTATGGACTACTTGTGTCAGCCTGGCTCTCTTTCTGTGTAGCCCTGTCTTTCCCATGAGCTGGACTTATAAAGGCTTTCATTAAAGGTAGCAGCAGTATCAGAATATAAGTGTGCACATACAGAACTTTTTGTTTTTGAGCCTATTGTAAAGCCATTCTTTGAGAACTTTCATGTCAGGTTAAAGTTAAGTATGTTCTCTATCTATGGTTGCTGATTCATCCTCACTACTGGCAAAAAAAGCATTTTTCATACTCTGGTAACTTGGCAGAGTAGATTTTTTCTTCCTGATAGGCTTGTGTAGCATTGAAAATTTTCTGTCCTTGTGACAGATATAAAAC